AAGCAAAGGTTCTTGACAAGTCACATTCCTTAGCTTCCAGATAGTCCAGCCTGACTGTGGCAAGGAATCCTTTAAGGGTTGTCACAAGGGGTGAAAATTTGGGACTGTCTTTGAAGCCACCTCTCCTACCAGTTTAGTAAGGATCTATCTTATTTTTCTCTACTTTGGCCCTGTATAACAACAAATCCCTTAGTGTCCCAAGCCCCACCATTAGGAATAGTTTGTTATTGGGGGGGGAGTAAGTTTTCTTTGTTAGGGTCCTATTACCCATCTTTTCTTTCTTCTCCCACATCCTGTCTCAGAGCCCTCCTTCTTTCCATCTTTTTGTTTTGAGATTTTAAAAAATTGACGAGTGTGTGTGTGTGTGTGTGTGTGTGTGTGTGTGTGTGTGTGTGTGTAAATCAGAAGGTGTGTGTGAATCACCTGGAACTGGAGTTACAGGAGGCTGTAAGCAGCCCAGTGTGGATGCTGGGATCAAATTCATGTCCTCTGGGATCATGGGAAGTGTTCTTAACTGCAGAGCCATCCTTGCACTCCCTAAAAGCCCTCTTTCTCTTTATCCACTGTTTACTTAGGGACCTGACTGAGGACTGTTGCTGCAATGCTTGCCTTAGCATGCATGAAGTCCTAGGTTTGATCCCCAGCCTCACATAAAACCAGGAGACAGCCATAATCCTAGCTTTCAGAAGGTAGAGGCAGGGGGATCAAAAAGCTGAAGATTTTTCTCAGCTACTTAGTAAGTTTGAGGCCAGACTTACTAAAGGAGATCGTATTCTTAAAAACATACTTACAAGTACTTTGTAAAGGGCAATTCAAATGTAGGCCCAATAATCTAATACCCACTGGAGGCTTCGATGCAGCTCCCTCAACTGGATTTAAGCTCCTAAGAAGGGATAGTGCCAACTATTTCTTATTTTGTTTTTTGGTGCTGGGACTGATCCCAGGGCCTTGTGCATGCTAAGCACATGCTCTACCACTGAGCTCCAGCCCCAGGCCAGCTATTGCTTTTGAATGTGCCCCAATCCCCATGGTCCACCATTCTTGATGTTTAGGACATAGAGTTCTCTTCACACAGTAGGCAATTATTGGATGCTGGCCAGCTGATTTTCATTTCTGTGCCTCCCTCTTTGGGAGGCGGGGGAGAAGGGGGGTGAGAATGAATCCTTGCCTGGGATGCTGCTGGTGGGTGGACACCATCTGAGGACCTCAGAGACGGCAAACAATGGTGCTTTTGAGGAGAGGGGCATCATCTGTGGCTTCCCTATGATTTCCCAGCCTGGTTATAGCCAACACCAACGCCTTACAAGAGCGGAGCTCCAAAGATGCTCCCTAGAATGTCCTCACATCTTAAGTAGGTCAGCGAAAGCTGACTGGCTCTCTCCAACTCTTTAAGGCCAATTAATTTCTTGCCTTTGTCCCTCTGGAGAGCTGCTGAATAGGGCACGTTTAGCAACCATAGCCGCAAGCCTGAGTTCCTCCGGGTTTCTGAGGGGGTGAGAATTCTATTCAGAAGTCAAATATTTACTCTCAGCACAAAAGGCTTTGATGTGTTTTCAGCTCCCAGGACAGAAATGAGAGCACCTCCTCTCAGCCTCTCAACATTTACCAAGGATCCCTCAGGACCCCCAGGATCAGATACTTCTCCTAACAAACCCTGCAACTTTCGGAGATACCCGGGAACCCTTTTCTCTGAGTGTCTCATCATATAGAGAGAAATAGCCAGGCAGCAAAGCCACTGTTCAGGGTGAAGGGCCTAGAAAGGAGTGGGGATACCTCTGACTCCTCCACTTTCTATTTGATGTTTCTCAGAAGCCACTCAGAGTAAGGCCACCTAAGAAAACTTTAGAAAGGAAAGGAAGAGGGGGGGAAAATGTCCTTGGAGAGGGCCATTCCTCACTGTCCAAGCTTCAAAAAGCTTGTTGTGCACCGGGGAGCTAGTTAATCTGCCTCTTGTTCAGAAGTTGCCGGCCAGGTCCAGCCCTGTGTCCTCGAAACAAAGCTGCACACAAATTCCTCGTTTCCCAGGCAACGCTTCACAGCTCTACAAATCTGCTGGCGGCTGTTGGCCCTGTAGCCTCTCTCCATCACATAGAACTGGGGAAGCAGCAGCTGCAGCATTGTTTGGGCGCAGGCTTACGAATCAAACCCAAAAAATACCTTTGGCCATCGTGGGGAGGGGCCCAAGGAATGGGCAGAAAGGGCCTCCTCACATCCTGAGCTTAGTCAAAGGTGCTGGTGGTGGAAGGCAGGGCCAAAGCTGAGACTCCAGTCCACGGGGAGGAGGGCTTCCTGAAAAGGTTGGGGCATCAGTGTAAATAAGAAGGGTCTACATTTTCCTGGCCGTCAACCTGGAGTCTTTGGTTTAATCTGTGGCAGCGACATGATTTTAGCAAGTTGCTAACCTTTTGGAAGTTTAGGTTTTGTTTGTAAAATGGTTATTATAATCCCTATCTAGTAGGTGCTGGGAGAACTGGATTAAAGTGTCTGAAAGAATCAGGTGAGCAGAAACCACCCCCGCCCTCACACCACACAAACACAGGGAGTTAGAGGAAAGAAGGTTCCGGTGGGATGCTTCCATAGGAAGGCCAGAGTCTGAGAAACTACCCTCCTCTTACCCTCGGCTGCAGCCCTTACTCAGCTTTAGCTGCCCACGATGGAAGTCTGCTTGAGAGGCTGTCTTTTTATTTACTCTACTCCTTTACTTCTCTGTCTCATTCTCCAACACGAGACAACCCGTCATTTGCTCTGCTCCTAGCTGGAGTTCAGATTCCTCTTCTGAGTTCATAGGTTCCTGTGGGTGTAGGACTGAGGTCCCTGCTCCTTTGCTGGCTGGTGATGGCTCTCAGCTCCTAAAGGTGGCTGACGATGTGACCCTCACCCCCAAGCCATGTACTTCTGTAAAGTCAGCAAGACAGCCTCTCTGTCTCGCTCTCTGTCTCTCTCTGGTTTGCATTAGTGTGACTTAATCAAGTGACAGACTTGTCACTGTGGTGGGCCTGTTCTGTTGTTGAGAGAGGAAGGAAGAGGGCTGGGAATCAAACCCAAGGCCTTGTGTGTGCTACACACATAAAATGTAAACGCAGTCTGGATGGATCTGGGAGGAGTTAAAGGGGAAGCTGGGCGAATATGACCAAGAGACATGGGATGAAATTCTCAAAGAACTGGTAAAAATATATTTTTAAAAGAATGTGAGTGGGATCAATTTTAAGAATGTGAGTGGGATCAATTTTTCTGAAGGTTTCAAAGAAGGCAGGTGGGGGATGGGTGAGGCCTTAACTACACCCCAAGCTGTTCTCACAGCTGTTGCTCTCTTATCTCCTCTCCCTGGCTTCATTTCTTTCCTTTCTACTCTTTTCCATCCCCAAATTCATGTTGTTTTAAAAAACATTTTAAATTATTTGCTTGTTTGTTTCTTTATTCCTATTTTATGTGCACTGGTGTTCTGCCTGCATGTATGTCTGTGTGAGGCTGTCAGATCCCCTGGAACTGGAGTTATAGGCAGCTGTGAGCTGCCATGTGGGGGCTGGGAATTGAACCCAGGTCCTCTGAAAGACCAGTCAGTGCTCTCAACATCTCTCCAGCCCCTCAAGTTTATTTCTAATGCAAAGTAGTTTGTTTTTTTATTCCTTGACTGTACTCAAGGCCTTACTTATCCCCCCCCCCATGTGGAATTTAGATATATTTATTGCTAAATAAAATTCCTTTCCACGGGGCAATTTTGGTGGTATTTGTGGAAGAGTTGTTTTTTGTTTTGTTTTTTTCCCACTCTACTTCCAAAGAGCACTTACAGTCTGGTGAAGGAGACAGATACGATTTAAATAATAGCAGGAAGTGAATACAGAGGAGGAAGGGGAGAGGGCTAAATATAAAACCACCAGCCATGCAATATTGTCACTAAGGGCAACTAGAAACCTCTGGCTGTGCCCTCACCTTGCCCAGAGCCCAGAAAGAGGCCATTGGATGAGGACGCTTGGAAATCTAAGGCTAGAATTGTTTTTAAAAAGGTGCATCTTTGATCACATAGGTTCTTTATCTTTTCTTGACTCTTATTTTTATGTTAGTTTGTGATGTTTTTATAATGAACATACAGAACCTATTTTCATCACATTCATTCTCATACACTCTTTTGTCCCATTCTCACAACCCCTCTGTCTTCCCAACCAGCCCCTCCTGTCTCCCTCTGTAGGCCTGGCTGGCCTGAACCTCACTATGTGGCCCAAGCTGGCCTTGAGCTCATGGAAATCCTCCTGCCTCCACCTCCTAGGTGCTGGGATTGCAGGTACACACCCAGCAAACCCTACCTTTTATGGTGTATTTACTGTGGTTGTTTTGCAGTGCCAGGAACTGAGGCCGGGGCCTGGCACACAAGCTAGGTACAGTGCTGTAGCACGGAGCTGCATCTCAAGCTCTTGTCTTTTACTAATTTTGTTTGTTTGTGGTAGCTCAAGAGTCTTGGTCCACCAATTCATAGCGCTCTAACTCTGGACAAATTAGTGAGTCCCTCTGCCCTTTGGTGTCCTTCCCTGGGAAGTGAAGAGGTGGAGCAAATGCTTATCTTGCTGCAGGGGGAGTCCACTGTTCTGGGTATGCCCTGCCAGTCCTGGAAGACCTCCAGCACTTGGAAGACAGAACATGCCTTTCCAGTTCCCCATCCTGCTCTCCAGTCTGTTTGCTTTCTCCAGTTCATGATGAGGCTTACTTAGTTTAAACTACTAGCCTCCCCCTCCTCTTGTTCCAGAACACACACACCAGAGTTTCAGCTGGTGCATAAGTGCACGGTGGGTGGATGGGGTGGGGGAGCTCTGTTCTGAGCGGCAGGACCTCTGTTGGAGCCAACTGCATAACTGTGAGGACAGCAGGTCTGGGCTGTTCAGGGTGCAGAGGAGGAGAGTCAGAATTCCCCCCCCCCCAGGCCATTAGATGAACACACCCAGAGGGAGGACCCAAAGTGTACATATGGAAGGATGACAAGGTAAACAAGGACGGAAGACATAAACACAGTCCTTTAATTAAAGAGCCTTTATTGATTAGAAGAGAAAGGCATATAAGCGGACGATTATAAGCTTCTACAAGTCTGCTTTCCTCAAAACCACCCAAAACAGGATTGCAAAAGTATGAGTCGTTCACTGAGACAGATGAAATCAAGGCACTGCCTGTGTGTGTTTGTAGTCGCTGTGATCTTCCGCTGAGCCTCTGCCTTTCAGGGTAACAGGAAACTCACTGTCCTCGTGAGCTCTGCTGCTTAAGGCCCTCCAGTAGTTCAGTCGTTCGGACACTCGGGCTCTCTTCCTCCTTTCTTCCGTCAACCCCAGATCCTCTCTAGGAAGAAGGAGTAGAATAAGTGTAGGTGGTCTGGCTGGGGTGACATAGCAAGAGGCAGACTGTACTGGTGTCTCCACGTGCTGTTCCGAGATCCCCTTGCTGGTCTACAGAGCTACTTTCTGGCTCCTACCATGGCAGTTGGTCTGCCCCATCTCCTCAGGCAGCAGAATTCCTATACACAGGGGCACCTGTGCACCCTCTTCTGCCTTCTGCCGGTTCTCTACCTGTTAGCCCCTCTGAGTCTTCCACGGGCTTCCACTCTGGGGCACTTGCAAACTCTGTACAGGGTCAGGACCCTAAGCCTCACTGCCACAGCCGGGGGGGGGGGGGGGGGGGGGGGATGGGACGGGACGGGACCGGACACAGGACACAGGGTGTTGAGTATTTAAACCCCTTTTAGCTCCCCCTCTGTCACAGTTTATTTTCCATGGTGCTTCAGTCTAAAAAGACCAGACATCAGGCTTTCTGTTTCCTAAACATCATATTCCCTTTTTCCCACTCAGGAAATCTTAAGCCATCACAAACAAAAGTGACTATTAAGAAATAGTAATAACTGTGATCTGGTCTACAGGCTGCTCTATGACATGTCAGAGGGACAGATAAAAGAAATAATGCTTTTTTGTCTTTTACATAGACTAGCTATTAAGCTTTTCAGCTTCTTACTGACTTTAAAATGCAATTTTAAATGCAAGAGCTAAAAGCTGACTTTCCCTTCTGCTCTGCATGTCTGCTAGAACAATAGCTTCCCAGAAGCAGACAGGTGCCTTGGGTTGTCTACGCAAAAGTCACAGACACAGAGATAGAAAAAGAGAAAAAAAAAAAAAAAACCTTACTGATTTCAGAACATTATCTGGAGTTCTGCCAGCATGCCCTCCTTGGCTCAGATTTTTCAATCGTAGAAAATTGGCCAAGCTGGGCTTGGTCGGTTTGTACAATAGCGTAGGTAGAGACAGTTGCTATATTTACAAAAACTAAGACCAGGGATAAAAGTGACCGATGTGGAGTTGTGAAGCTGGGTGTGGCAATACACGCCTGAAATCCTAGCGGTTGGGAGATGGAGGGAGACGAATCAGGAGTTCAAGGCTAAAGTGAGACCTTCTCTCAAAAAAAAAAATAAATAAAATAGTAACAAGAGGAAGTTGAGAACTTTGGTCTTACCCAGATAAAATGGTCCCTGTGTGAATGAAAAAGGAAGAAAAGGCAGCTCTCAAGAGGACGGAGGCCATGGGGACTATTGAGACAGCTTGGTGAGCAAAGGTACGTGTCACCAGACCTGATGACCATGTGGTGGAAGGAGAGAATCAGCTCCCCCAAGCTGTCTTATACACACACAGATAAACACGTTGTAACTTTTGCTCTGTTTTGTTTTTCCAGACAGGGTTTCTCTGTGTAGCCCTGGCTGTCCTGGATCTCACTCTGTAGAACAGACTGGCCTTGAACTCACAGAGATCCAATTGCCTCTGCCTCCCGAGGGCTGGGACTAAAGGCGAGGGCCACCACTGCCTGGAGACAAATTATAATTTTTTTTAAATGTAAAAGGTTATGCGAGAAGTGAGGTCCCACCTCTGCCTAAAGAGTTAGACAGTTAATGGTTGCCGAGGGGAGAAAGGGTCATTTCTTTAGCGGTGTAACCACTGGGGGTTACCCATGCTCCAGTAAGAAACCCTCCACCAAACTCATGCAAGCACCCCTAGTTAAACTTATTGGGTCCCCAAAACAGAACAAAACAGGGCAAAAAATAAATAAATAAATGAACAAAAGAGTAAGGTATTTAATTTATTTTCCAGCCCCTCCCAGCTTCAGAGAGCTGTTTCGTTTGTCTTCAATAAGCTTTGCTTCCTTGCTTGCCCATCCATGCAGCCCCCCCCAATAAAAAATATGAAATTAGCAAGAGGCCTTATTGGGAAGGTGTTCCCAACAGAACTAGGGAGAAATAAGAGAGGGTAATATGAGGTGGCAATTGAACAAAATATACTATATATGTGTATGAAATAGTCAAAGAATCTTTAAATTTTTAATTTGTTTTTTAAAAGGGAGAGGGTTGATAAAACTGGGCATAGTGCTGCCCACCCGGGATTCCAGCAGTGGACACAGGCAGCAGGAAGATCAGGGGCCCACGGCCACCCTCAACTCTATAGAAAGTTGGAAGCCAACCTTGGATACCGAAGACCCTGTCTCAACAAAGACAAACAAAAATGTGGGAAGGGCCTTCTAGGGCCACCTGGGAATTGCTAGTAAGAATATAAATGATTTAGGTTCTTTGGGAAACAGTTTGAGAGTTCCATAAAAACTTAGCAATCGGTGTGGTGGGGATGGCGTCATCTATATATCTTATCCATGATGGGCAAATCCACATAGACAGAAAATAGACCTGTAGTTCATGGGGCTGGAGAGGAGTATAGTGAGTGACAGCTAAGAGTATGAGTCTTATTTGGAGAGAGGTCACTGCAATTGGGTATTTGTGACAGTCTCAGAACCTGGTGAAAATACTAAAGCCACGGAACTGCACATACTAAAGGTGAATTTCCTGATACATGAATTATATCTTAATTTAAACATTTTAAACATGAAAAGAAGGGGGGAAGCAAGACTGGGTTGGGTGGCAGTCAAAGTTTAAGTCTATCAACATAGACTAGTTTTGACTTTAAGATTAAATACATTCACCTATAACTAAGAAAAATAAAATATAAATGAAATGTCTTTTTTTTGGGGGGGTTGTTTTGTTTCATTGGTTGATTTGGGTTTTTGTTTCATTCTGTTTTTTTGAGATGGAATCTCACATTGTAGCCCAGCCCAGCCTGGAACTCATGATGTAGCCCAAACTCATTTCAAACTCATAGCAATCATCTAAGTACTCAATCCTCCAAGTGCTGGGATCACAAGCATGCATCACTATACCTGTTTTGGTTTTGTGAAACAGATTGGTCTTGAACTCATAATCTTCCTGCCTCTGCCTCCTTAGTGCTGGGGTTACAGGCAGACCCTGCCACACTCAGCCTTAAATGCTTTCTCCCTTACAAAGCACTTCCAGAACATTCTATACCATAATCTTCACCAATCTTCCCAACCATTCCCCCAATAGCCATTTTACAGAGGTAAAATCAAGGGTTCAAAGATACCGAGTCTGTCCCATTACCACAGATTAACCAAGCGTTTGATGAGAAGGCACCGCCATGAGTGAGTGAATGTACAGACTTGAGAAACAGGAGGGCACACTGGGCTGTTACACTGAGAGCAGAACCCCGGGGTGCTGGGTTGTGGAGCATTACCCTAATCTGTGCTCTAGCATGTTCCAGAACACTGGCTGAACGTAGGGAAATGACAGCGTGACCTCTGGAAAGACGCTCCTCAACATCTATCTGAACCTGTGATAGGAGAAAATCCCAGCTGGAACACTGTGGAAGTAACAGAATTCAAGCCCTTTCCCATCTTCTTCCCTTGGGGTAAAACAGGTTTTCCACTTCTTCGGCAATTCTTTCAGGTCTCTCTTTTCCCGAGATATCCCAAAGCGCACCCCCTTCCCCTGCCCCCACACCGCGACCTTTTCTCCCTTATTAGAAGTCTGTCCTGACGTGGAAGGAGGAGTGTGAGGTGGAGCCATGTAGGTTGGGACACTGAGCCTGGATCTGCACGGCCTTGGGAGTGGGCCTTATTGCAGAAGAGCCAACCGCTGGACCACCAGAGCCCAGTATGATGGAATATGCAGTGAAGATTATCATGTCGTGGAGATACCCCTGTCCAAACTAAGGGGGCGAAGGGCTCGCAAACTAGAAAATGCTAGATCTGAGCGAAGCGAGAGGAGAGAACAAGGCCAGCAACACACAGAGCTCTGTGTATTCAGAGGGAAGTTGGCAGGGTTGTGCCCGGGCAGAGAAACTCCGAGTGGTACAAAGGGACGTGCCCGGAGTGGAGAAATCATGCTAATTGTCTGCACCAGAGCTGGAGAACGCCACCCAAAATGAAGAGAGAAAGAGGAGCCTTGTCCAGAGCCTCCAGGGCCCTGCGCCTCGCTCCTTTTGTCTACCTGCTTCTCATCCAGCCAGGTAGGAGACCAGAGGGGTCTGGAGAAAAGAACTTGGGGCTTTTGACAAAGAGGGAGGGGGAGAGCAGAGCCTGAATACCCTCAGGGCTGGAGGAGGGGAGAGAGCTCAGTGGCCGTGGGAAGCATCTCAGTGAATTAAGGAATCAGTGTTGAATATATCTCTTCATTCCCCGTGCTTCCCGCCCGGTCCCTGGCTCCTGGCCCCCTCCCCCAAAGACTGCATGACTTTGGAGCGCCCACAGCATTCAGTACATTAGATGGAAGGCATCGTGCCACTTTTTATGGGATGACATGTTGGCGTGGGCTTGTCCAGCATTCTTTTTAAGGGATTATGTGAACTCTGGGTGAGAGGAGGAGGGGAGATCTTGGGTTTGAGCCTCCCAAACCTCCACCCTGGCTTCTCTGAGTGTCAAACAGCTTGAAAGATAAAAGAAGCTTTGTAGTTAATGAGACTCCCGGTTTAGGATAGTAATCCATCCTATTCATAATTCATTCCAAGTCATAGACACCTACCTCTTGTGATGCCCCCTATGAACCCTATGGAAAACTGATCTTATTTTAAATACTGTAGATGTGTTTATGTGTCCATATACACAATTACAGGGAGCCCAGAAACACACATTTTAGTGTGGCAAGCAGATACATAGATCATTTTAACAAAAAGCAGGAATCAGCCTCCATCCAGGAAGTTGTTGCTGGTGGGGCAGGATGCGGGTGGGCGAGAACCAGGGAATGTTTCCTTGTAGAAAGAATGTTTGCACTGAATCTTAGAGGATGAGAAAAATAGGTAGGGGAATGAGTGAGATTATTGCTGGGAAGTGGACAAAGGTCAGGAGCTTGAAATAGTCTCCTGTGTTTAGGTGGAGCCCAGAAGTTCAGCATTGCTGAGAGAAAAGTATGAACTGAATTCAGCAGAAGCTTTGTAAACCTTTCTCAGAGGTTGGGAGATAGTCAATATAAGCGGTAGGCGGGGAAAATTGAGTGATCTTTACTGGCAGGATCAGATAGACTTCGGATCTCTTAGTCTGCCATGACACATTGAAGGGACAACAAGGACATAGAATAGAATGGAAACCTATGTAATTCTGAGTTGATGAAACAAAATGACACAGAGTAGGTGGATTAGGTAGCAGAAAGTCTTTGTCTTGCGGTTCTGAAAGGCAGACGCTAGAGATCAAGGTATTGATGGTGCCAGACTTCCCTCTGAAAGCACCAAGGACAGATCTGTCCCAGGCCTTCTTGGCTTGTGGCAGCAAAATTCCAGCCTTCAGGTGGCGTTTTCCTGTTTGCGTGTGTGTGTTCAAATGTCCCCATTTTACAAGGACGTGTGCGGAAGTGGATCCACCCTGCTCCAGTATGACCTCATCTTAACGTCCTTGGCTCCGCAAAAACCCCATTGCCAAAAGAAGTTCAACTGTGAGATGTGGGGCTGGGGGATGAGGGTTAAGAGGACTTCAGTATGTGAGTTTGAGAAGTACTTCAGCCCACAGCAAAGCTATTTTCTAATTATGAATTATGTTAATAAGATTATAGTTATGAGCCAGGCATGGTGGTGCATGCCTATAATCTCAGCACTTGAGAGATAGAAGAAGGAGGAACAGGAGTTATCTTTGGCTACATAGTGAGTTTGAGTACAGCCTGGGCTACTTGAGATCCCTGTCACAAACAAACAACTATTAGTTATAACCTATGAGAGCTAAATGTTGAGCTATTGTACTGCTATTACAACGAGCAATAAATGTGCAGATTCTGTAATAAGTCTCTGCCATCTTTGTTGTATTATTAGGAAAATGTCAGCTTCTGTAGTAGATACATTTCAGATTTTAAGTCCTCGGCATTACATGTCAGTGTAATGAAGTAGTCGACTAGGCCTGGGAGAGGAAGGACGATATTGCATAGAGTTCTCAAGGAACACGCTAAGCTGATGGGACTCTGTCGACTTCAATGTGTGGATCACTATGGGGTTTGTCTCTATTTAGTCCAAGTAGAGCATTTATTTGTTTGTTTGAGACACGGTCTTCTTACTCTGTAGCCCTGGCTGGCCTGGAACTTGCTATGTAAACCAGACTGGCCTCAAACTCACAGAGAGCTATCGTCTCTGCCTCCTGAGAGAAGAAATTAAAGGCCTTGGCCATCATGCCTGGCCAAAGAGAAAATTAAAAAACAAAAGAACTTAACAAATACAACGAAGAGACATATAAGGGAGGATTTTCCAAAATTAGCTTCTGAGTGGTATGTA